TCGGGTTTACGTACCGGTAGGTTTACGTTCTTGACTAATTTCAGCTTTAATTCCGCAGATTTCTGCGCTACGGGCTACAACTACAGAAAAATTCTGCGGTGTTGAGTTTTCATTTACATGGCGCTTTGGTAAGACAGATCGTGTCAGCTGACTCGGGTTTACGTACCGGTAGGTTTACGTTGTTGACTAATTTCAGCTTTAATTCCGCAGATTTCTGCGCTACGGGCTACAACTACAGAAAAATTCTGCGGTGTTGAGTTTTCATTTACATGGCGCTTTGGTAAGGCCCTGTCTCCACAGGAAAACACTGATGTCGTGATAACCATGTCACAAAATATATTTCCAATGGAGACCGCCTATTTCTTATGTGCTCAATATATGTCAGCGCTTATTGCTTGACATCTATTGCAGGCAATTCGATAGTTTGACAGCCATATTTTCATTTGAAAGAAAGCGTGCTGGTGTTAACATCGATGAAATTTTGATATTAAATCAAAATAAAAATCTGTTCCGTATTGGATAATTTATGATTACGTTTTAGGAAATTATTTAGCTAGTTTTTTAAAGATTTAAATGTTTTTAAACACCGAAATTGAGAGAATGTTGTCTGGTGGCGTCATGCGGCAAATGCTTATTTCAAGACATCAAAGTGCCCACACACAAAAACTTGCAATCACATTGCTCGTCAAAATGACAGTTGGTAGGCCATCGCTGTTCGCCTGTGGAGTTCTGCGGTAAGACAGATCGTGTCAGCTGACTCGGGTTTACGTACCGGTAGGTTTACGTTCTTGACTAATTTCAGCTTAACTGTTTGTGCTCATTTACACACGGCGATTTTTGTTGCCGCAACTCGACGTTCGTCGGAGACGACGAGGAAAGGAGAGGGGCAGCGAGTTGCTCGTGTTCGGGCAACACGCTTTGTGCTCTCGTTCGTCTGTGTAAATTGAAAAGCTGTTCACAGCTGACAACAATTGCATACACACAAATCGTCGTGTGTAAATGAAACGAGCAACACAAAAGGGAATGTGAAAAATTGCGGCGACAAAAGTTTTCGTGTATAAACGCAGTCTTTCCAAACATTGTATTGATACCATGAACGAAAGACACAAGATCACGTAAGAACAAGAGAGTGAAAAAAGTAGATTTTTTTAGCGGGTTCTACGCCATCTTGTTTCACTGGAAAACGAGCGAAAAGTAAACAAAGCAAAGAAAACAAAGAAAACCAAAATTAGCCAAAATTATTGTCAGCCACTTTAAACGCACAATTTAGGTAAAATGATACAACAAAATGCTTTAAAATGTGTTGTCATGTTGAATTAACTCTTCTTTACTTGAATAAAAGTGTTATAGTGGTGCTTGTGATGTAAACAAACGCTCAGCTGACGAACCCGCTTTCGCAAACTTTTTTCTCAAAACCAGTTACAAATACAACGTCGCGTTCTTGCGTGATCTTGTATTTTTGGTTCATGTATTGATACATTTTGGAAGTCATCCTATGTTTCAATGGAAAAGCGCAGAATTAAGAGCACGCACATTTGTAATTGAAACTATGCTCTTCGCTTTGCTCGCCGCTACACTATGTTCTTACCCTAATAGCGATTTCTTTTCTCGAAATAATATTGCCTTCTGTCGAGGACATGGACCTCAGCGAGGCGTCGGTTTAAATTTGTTTTTCATATTTTTGTAAATATTGTCATGGCCGAAGCGCGGCAGCTCTGGCACCTCCCTATTATTGTAACTCTTCTAATACAAAACTCAAACTAACTATTGTGAATCTTGAATACTTTGAATAGGTTGCCTAGTAGGTATGTAATAGGCTGCCTCTCACTTCATTTTTTGACTTGCTATCAGCCAGACTGCCGCTTCGCTAAATATTCATTTTTGAAATTCCACTACTTTGTAATCGCAAAATATTCATTTTTGAAATTCCACTAATTTGTAATCGCTAAACAAAACCGTAATTAAAGAAAACTTATATGAATTTAAAGGAAGCAATTGCGTTCTTCTTGACTCATTGTCCAACTCACTCCAGTAATCACGGGAACGTGATCACCTTCATTCTGCCCTGCGCCAGGGCTGGCAAGTTATTGTGTTCTTTTCTCAGCATCTTCACATGCAATTACGTGCTCTTTCTTTAAAATGTTGCACTCTGATGATGTTGCCATATAAGTGGCATTTTTTTCCGAGAAAAGAAAACGCCATAAGAGTGCGCGGGTTGGGGTCTGCCACTCAAACCAAAATACCCATCGACCTTTTTGATTTTTGTCTTGTCGATTTTCACTAAAATTTTCCCGTGCGGCATTGTGGAACAGCCGAACGAATAATTCTAAAACATGAAATCGAAAAACAAATAATTTCATACTTTCATACTTATCCTTTCCCATGTAAATTAAGGCCGGTGGCGAAACCACATCACTTTGAAAATAGAAAACCATTTTTATAAACTAGTACACATATAATATATGTTTGGGCATCATCACACAAAACTCAAAACTTATTTTTCAACTACTTTGTTTTACTAAAGTTATTTAAAAACCGGCTTCTAGATACTTTCCGAAATTACAGAACACAGTGTGAGTCGGATGATATATTAATATAAATTGTTAAACCAAGGTTTACACGTCGTCGCCTGGGTAAAAGATTGTCGGAAGCGCATTTTTGACGATTTTTAGTTCTAAATGCAGTTATATATTTTGAAATAAGGTCCTTCGATTGGTGTTATCAGTTTTCAGATACCTCCTTTAGTTTCCGAGATATTGACTACAATTTTTTCGATAATTTAGTAAAAATTGAGTTAGTGATGCAGCCATATTAAACTAATTAATATCTTAAAAATGACGTTTTTCGTTTTTGAATACCTTCTTTAATTACCGAGATATTGAGAAAAGAGTGTTGTTCATACAAAGTGGCTGCCAAATTGTGGACAAATGACGCTTATGACAAAAATTTTACTGAAGAAAATCCTTCATAAACTCAAAACTAATAACAAAAAACATTAAATAATTTAAGAATTTTGTGAACTAGTAACATTTTCACAGACTTTGGAGAAAATCTATCTTCGCGATTTTGAGAAATTGCATTCCAAACTTCAATCGCGATTTCCCACAACCTGCTGAAATTAACATACGACAATCTTTTACCCACGCGACGACGTGTAGTCATCACAACAAATTAACATTTCTTCAGAAGCTCGAAATGTAATTTCTGTGGTTTTGATTTCTACTACTATTATTTTTTATATACTAATATAATAAATACCACTAGAACATACTACAACAACATCAACTTGAACACATAAAAAATCCGACAAATTAAAATATTTCATATAAGGCACCCTACATATTCTGTGACCAAAGCATTTTCGCTTGATATATTTTTTAATAAGATGGATAAAATTTTCTGTGGAATAAATCAAAATCAGATCTAATAAAGAATTAGATTTTGGTCAATTAAATTAACTAAGTCTGAACTACGGTCGCGTGTCGTTATCTAGAAAATGTGATTGTGTACAAGAATCGGTGAAAATCCGTGGCCGTACATAACTGGGAAAACAATAGAATTTTCAACTTGTAAATACTCTGGATAAAAATTACCAAATAATAAAATAATGAAACAGAAAATGAATGCTAATTGGCACCAGTGAATAAAAAAGTATGGTATCAATGTTTGCTGTCCTAAAACAAGTCTTCGGTTGACGTGTGAAAAATCAATAATCTTACGCAAAAAGAAGCTTGGACATTTGAGTGTTTTACCACACCCGTAATACAGAGAACACACAACATGACGTGATTGGTAAGATTAGACATTACATTTACTTTTAAACTAAACTTAAGTTCTAATAGAATTTATTTATTTATTTGAAAAACATTGCAGCGGACAGGAATAACAATTTTTATTTGGTGCTTATAAGTATACTTATTTACAGTAGAAATTTGCCTAACTTCTTTTGTAACTATCAAAGAAATAAACAATTATTTTTTAAGATTGTTCTTATAATCTTAGGGCTTAAATAAAAGCATCTGACCAATAAATCTACGCCGTCGCGGCAGTGCAGAGCGTCTCGTCTGTCGCGAAAAGAAATTTGATTGCAAATTTTTATATGCCCACATTCTATATTTGTGGTTTTTTGCCTAAATACCATATATGTATATGAAGCCGACTTTAAGTTGAAGTTTTAGTTAGGAAATTGAATTAAGGCCGCCAAACCGTCCAAGAAAACTTTGTAAATGCAAACAAATTTATGTTTCCCCCATTTCCACTCATTTCTATTAAATCTGCATCTTTAAGATTTTAATAGGACGGCAGGATTTCCCCCGAAAACATCGAAGAAATTAATTAATGGAGAAAGTACAGTGGCTTTGTAAAGGTGTATTACAAGGCTACAAAACGATGTTTTCTAGTCGAATAGATTCAACTTTTGTAACAAATTCTTTTCCTCCTTAAAACAAAAAAAAAAATTGTTTTCCATAATATTAAGGCTACATTTCTTTATTCATTCTGAATGTTTCGAATACACTTTTTTGTTTACTTATTCTTTAGAACGTTCCTGATGATATGTTAACGTATATTTCAAACGCATTCTGTTTATTCCGGTTGTGAAATGGGATGTATAAAGAAACGCAGCCTAAATAAACTAAATGAAGAATTTTACAAATGTGGAGGTGTTAATTTAAAAAATTGAAAAATATCCTTTGGAATTTTTATTCTTTAGGATTTAAATTAAACTAAGATTCTGCAAAATTTATCAAAAAACTTAAGAGTAAAATTTATAAAAAGCATGTTTGGCATGTTTCTAATGGATAATTGAAACCACATTGTTTCGAATTCCTCTTTCAATTGATACCCATATATCCCTACTTTGTGCAAACTTTTCGAAATATATTATAATTTATGGTCCTTTGCAAAAAACCCCGACTACCCGAAAAAAAAACAAAAACGCGAATTACGCTTTCACGCATTAACTACTCGACCCATTATCATGAAATTTTATACACTGGTATCGTTTAGCCGAAATTGAAATATAGAATATATATATTTAGTCTCGATTAGACGAGGGGCGTGACACCTCCTATACAAACGGAATTTTTCATACCGCATATTAGGAAATATTTGTGATAGAGTAATGGAACTTGGTATTTAGATACATACAGTATCGGTCATATCTATAGCACGGCATTTCAAAGTGATATTGTGTGTCACTTATCTTTATTTATTGAGTTTTAAGAATTTTCAATTAAAATATAGTTCTTTCTTAGACAAACCCGATACAAACCCAAGGTTAATAATTTGTAGAAAGCTACAAAAAAGTGCAACAAATTTTCACATAAATTTCAAACTTTTTTCTCGGAAGTGTTAGAATTTTTTTGAGTACACAGTTTTTTAGCCCCTTCAATTTTAGTCTAATAATGTGCAAATTTGAAGTGGCTACGAATTACCGTTTATTTTTTAGATTTTTTTTTGTCGCATTGGCTTCCATACAATGAATAAACTCAATTTATTTGTATATGGAAGAAATCCGCAACACATTTGGCGAAAAAAATTCTAAAAAATCAACGGTAACTTTTAGCCACTTGAAACTTGCACATTATCAGACTAAAATTGAAAGGACTAAAAAACTGTGTACTCAAAAAAATTCTAACACTTCCGAGAAAAAAGTTTAAAATTTAGGTGAAAATTTGTTGGACTTTTTGGTAGTTTTCTACAAATTGTTACACATGGGTTTGTATGGGGTTTGTCTGAGAATGAACTGTATTTTAATTGAAAATTCTTAAAAATAAATGAATAAACATCAGTGGCACACAATATCACTTTGAAGTGGCGAGCTATAGATATGACCGATACTGTACATACATTTATAAAATCATGGAAGAGGAGGGCATCGTACTGTTTAAAAAATTAAACTCAATTTGAATTAGGGGAATTATTAATTTGAAAATTATATTAAAAAATGCATGTCAAGAGGTTTTTTTTAGATTTGCAAAACAACTAAATAGCACCTTATTCAGTAATAAAAAACTACAACTGTTTAAAGATATTCGCCCCTATTTCGAGTGTCGACTGGCAGTAGAATAGAAATTTGTCGATCGAGTCGATCATCTTTTATTTTGCTTTGCGTAACTTTATCGATAAATATTTGTACTATTGTGAATGGTTAACTGAATTGTAAACAGCTGTTTGTTTGTTTACATTTGTTTCTTTAGTGTTTCATTTACATCATTTTTAAAATTGCTTTTATTATAAAATTTAAAAAATTGATGCGGTTGAAATATGGTTTAATGATGAGGAAGATGATGCCAAGGCTAATAGATTTTTAGAGTTGGCTTAGGGTTGCCAGATTTTTTATGCGCGAAATCAGTACGTTAGCCTTTTCCATTCTAAAAAATCAGTACTTTTCAGTACGTTTTTATTCAAAGCAAAGTTATGAATGTAAGTAACAAAAAATAATTTGCAACGCCAGAGTTTTTGTTTTTAACAATATTTTGGTATATAAATAAAATAAATTCCCAACAAGCAAAGTAAACTTATGGAACGTTTTTTTTTTTAAGTTTTCAATTATAAACATTAAGCTTACAAAACGTTGATTTTTGTTTATAAAACGCTTGAAAGTAAGCGTAATATAATCGAAAAGGAACATTGGTTATAAGCGTAGAAATATAAACTTGTAATAAATGTTCAAAAGAAAGCTTTTTATAAGCGTAAAAGTGTAAACTTATAATAAAGGTTCAAAAAAGTTGTTTATAAGCGTATGAATATAAACTTACTAAAAATTTTCAAAAGAAAGCTTTTTATAAACATTTTTATAACCCTTTATTTAAAGATATTTCATTAAAAACTAATACATAGATTGCTTAACATCTAGAAACTAAAAGAAATGCGAATTTTCGGCGGACTCATCTACAGTCGGGAAAATATAAATAGGGAATAGACATTTTAGCTTACAAATTCACGTTAACACACAAAAATTAAGCATACAAAAGTTAATTATTACATCTTGTTGCGTGTTTTCAATTACATGCGGTTATTGGCAAATTGGAAAAACGACATCGATGCAGCTATATATTCCGGTTCATCGCCGCCATTCTCATTGATGAAATTTTCTGAAAAAAATTTAATAAATTTTTAATTGAATGTTAAACTAAGAAAGGATAAGCAGAACTCATCATTTGAAGACTCGAATGTTCCAACGATTAGCGCAGCGGGTCCTGGATTGGATTTTTTTTACCGCATCGGTTTTATTTAATTTTTTCTTTTAATAATATATTTTAAAAAACGTCAAGTCACTTACGATTTAAAAAATGTTATATTTACTACTTCATGTCGTGTGCATTTGCATTTCATTTATAAGTTTAAGTTATTTATAAACATTAGCTCTCCAAACTTATTAAGGGTTTATTTGAAAAAACTTTTAATAAGCTTAATATTAAAAATGCTTATTTAACGCTTATTATAGCAAACTTACTTTAATTTATTTTTAAAAACATTTACTGAAATGTTTGTTGGGTTATTTTATATTTGTGACATTTTTGAATAGCAATAATGAGATTTTTCGCATACAGTGTTTAAATAGTCAAAGAATTCTATACATTTCATTTTAAAATTACTTTTAATTTGAAGTTTACTTTCAAAAATTTTAATGAGAAGCCGGTTTCTCTCTTTGCGCTAGGAAACAAACTTTATTCTAAAAGTGAAAGTAAATAACGTCTATTGCGCCACCGCCAACGTCACCGTCAGTTGCCAAAAAAGTTAAATCTGTGTATTCGTATGAAGTAAGTTACATGAACAAAGCTGACGGTGACTGTGACGCACAAATTAGCTCAACTTTCAACTTTGCTTATGCGTGACAACTATTCTGTGTTTTGTTTACATATCTGAATTTCAATTTTTTCAGTTTGTGAAAATTTTTGGATTTATTGAGATAAGAAATGTAAAATATGATGAAAGAAAAGTGCAACGCAATTTTTGCAAAGAGTAGCAGGGAGTTTTTGATTTTACGGACGCAATGGTGAACGGATAGTGTGTAACTTGCCACATAAGCACCGTTGACGCTCACATTGACGGTGACGGTGCCGGCGACGCAATGGACGTTGTGTACTTTCGCTTTAAAGATCTTCTCAGTTGCTTCGCTCTAGTGTGGTGTTGAAAAAAAAAAAAAAAAATTAAATATTTTTTTCAAACTGTGAAAAAGTACCACTTTTTAAGAACTTCATCTATATTTCCTCATGGCTTAAATAATTTCAACTACGCAAAAATTGTGAAAGACTAAGAATTCGCTAAAAGGAGTATCTAACTCTATGTCTTGTAAGCAAAACTTTTTTACAGTGTCAGTAAATTGAGAAAGAGGAGTTGTAAGTTATAGGCAAAAGCTATTCGAATATTCAAATTTATTGTCATTAAACTGAAAGTTATTTTCGAGATAACTAACTCTCGACACAAATTTCAGCCTTTTTTTTTAATAATTTAAGCTCCATCACATTATCGCAACTGGTACGTAACAACCCGGCGATACCTCTCTGAAGTTGGCAGGACAACTTTTCTCAAAGCTAAAATTCTGATCGGATAATTTGCCGTTAATTATCCGTGAAAAGAATAATTTTGCCGCGGACATATTTTAAAAAATATCGAGTGCTCTGCTAACTTCCGTGGAAGTTAGCAGGGCACCTTCTGAAAACCAATTAAGGAAACCAGCTAAACCCAAACTAACTATCTGATAATTTGCCGTAAATTATCCGTGAAAAGAATTATCTTGCCGCGGACATATTTCAAAAAATATCGCGTGCCCTGCTAACTTCCAC